AGCGCGCGGTGCAGCACGGCCATGGCGTCCACCAGCAGAGGTTGTCGAGGACGACTCAGCTGACGCCGTGCGGCCGGCTGAAGGCCGACCGGGCGGGCCGGCCGCCGCGTCTCCAGACACTTGTGTCGGTGATCTGAAGACGGAGCAATGCCATGTGCCAAATAAGAGAATGTTTCCCCCAGCTGGAGCCAGCACATCATGGGAGCCCACGTGGTGCGCAAAAACAAATATGATGATAGTGCCAATGCAAATCATGTCAAGCAATGCTTGGCATCAACTGAAGATGGAGCAATGCCATGTGCCAAATCAGAGAATGCTTCCCTGAACTGGAACCAGCACACCATGAGAACCAAATGTGGCACAGAAAAACAAATATGATGATAGTGGCAATGCAAATCATGTCAAGCAATGCTTGGCATCAAAAATCTTACACAGCAGGGTGCTCAATATCAGCTAATGATGATGGTACTGAAAGAAAGGTTAAGGACGGTAGAGAGGAAGAGTACATATCAAACTGATTCGGTAAGAAAATAAATAAGCATGCCATCAGCCACATCCAAAATGGTACGGTCTAGTCAGGTTCTAACACCTTGTGTGAAAGACAAGTTGCAAGTCATTGCTAAAACTATGACTTGAAAGCTTCAGGGAGCAACAGACTGGTGTTTGTATCAGATCAACACATGCTGGCTGTCAATAAAAATACTGATTACAGCTGCCAAAGCATTGCGCAACTTGCATTCAATGTAACATATTTTCTACCTTCCACCAACACTTTTCACAAGCATAACATTTTGTCCACCACTGGCAGAAAGCTTACAGCTGCTGTCTGATGAAACTAATTACAAGTAGGATGTGACACCAACTGCAAAGTGTAACATTGTCACATTCAGTGACACATTCATGAGGGAAGACATTGATTCAAGTGTCATTGAAGACATTGATTCAAGTGTCACATTCAGGAGGGAAGACAATGTTCCAGTAAGTTTACTTCATTGCATGAATTTCAGAGGTTATTGGTTAGCTGATCAGCAAGGCAGCTTTGTTGTAAAACTTTCAGTTGCTTTAATAACACAGTTTGTGAAGAACTGCTGTGTGTGCCCCAAAATAAGAAAACTGTGCTGTTATTCACATGATTAATGCATCTCAACCTAGCTGCAAGGTCAGTGGAGGCAAAACTGTTTGCTTCATGCTGATGTTTATTTGGGATACCAAACCATCCACAAACAAAACAAAAATATTACATAAAAATATCCCACAACGGCACAAATGCATTTATGCTACACTGAGTAGCTGGTCAGAAATTAACTTAAAAATGTCTGAAAGTGATAACACTAAACAACACTGATCATAGGGTATGGGAACCAGACCACAAAAACACCTGTTACGCTGTATATGTCTGGTGCAGGTGCTGCAGGGAATCACAGCCAAAATGTCAGCTCATGAACTCCATACCTTCCAACACTCAGCCTGGCATACTAAGCCAACAATGTCAGTGTAAAGAAAGACAGCATTGTAGGGAATTCTGATGCTGAGTAAAACAATTTGCAAATTATTCCCAAAACTTGTCTGCACTGAAGTCATGCAAAAATGCAGCATAGTCTTGGCCTGAGCTTGACAGACCCAAAAGTGTGAGATTCAGCGCACTGATGTCACATCAGCATCCAGGACAGTGAATTTTGGGGGGCCAGTATGGGAACAGGGGGGCACTGAGTGGGTCACTTCACACTCATCTTTTGGAGGTCTACACTGGTGTCTGTGATGTGTGGTAATAGTGTTGCCATAACAGTGATTCAGATTCTTCATATTCAGACCTAAGGACAATATAGTGAAACAGCATGGGCCAGAAGGAAAATAGCTGGTGCTTGCATTGCTCCTATCATTCCTGATGGTTGATATGCTGCTTGAGTGAACAGCTTGCCTATCAAAATTTCAGTCCAAAGAATGTCAGCTTTGGGTCCATGTTTCTATGTCACATGCAATACCCAGGGGCACAAAACTAAAAAGATGGGAAAGTTGAGCATGCATATCACAACACAGTATTACCTTTACCCAGAAAACTGAAAGGAGACCTTCAGTAGTGCGTGGCAGGCTCTGCTTGAAAATATCTCACTGATTCATATACCACTCACAGCCACATTTCACCATACAATTTCAAGCACCAAGACACCTTAATTTTTAAAGGTGGTGGCCAATAAAATATTTGATATCCTAAACTGCAAGTTACTTGATTCTAACAGCAAACAACTCCAGCGACGTGCTTCCCATAAAAATCACCCACGCGCCCACTCAACACCGGGGTAACAAAAGTGACAGGGGCACCCAGGACACCCAAGGCATTCCAATACGCGCCGCGACCGCCGCACTTGAAAAAGGCTTTCAAGGATTCAGAGTAACATGGAAGTGAACGTTACTAAAGTGCAGTCAAATCTTTCGGCGTTTGCCGCACCGGCGATCCCCGCTAAGAAGTCAAGACACTGGTGGTCTGGACAGCCTGTGGAGCGTGGGCCCACTCCTGATGATGACGACCACCGCGACGCCACCGCAAACTGAGGGCGTTTACGCACCTAGCTTGCACACCCTCCAAAACAGAGGGTGGTTACGCACCGGGCTTTTACACCCTCCACAAATCTTTCAGATGGTTGTGCGTGTCAAGCATACGCGGATTGCCAGCCTTAAAGGGAAGCAAGTGCAAATATACAGAATCCCGTGCGAAAAGTCGGCCCTATGCGTGATATGAGTCGAACGATCATGAAATCCATCAACTCACTCTGAACCAGTCCTATTCTGATCACAAATTTTCGACCGCCGGGCCCGCATCTCCAGTGGATGGATCGTTAGCACGCTGGTCTCGCAAGCGTAACCCCGGCTTCGAATTTCGAGGGTGGCCGCTGTTAAGTGGTGGCTTCATGGTCTATCGGTGTGGCGTGATGGCGCCAACTCGGTTCATTTCTAAGCGAAATTAAAGTCTAATCTGGGCTTTTCATGCCGGACAGCAGCGTAGTTTCTAATGCCAGAGAGAGGACTTAAATAAAGAGAACTTCGTCCCTCCAGGTGGAGGGAGTCCACACCCTACAGAGATATTGAGGACCCCGAGGACGTTGACCGTAAATCTAAATGAGGCCAGCAGCTTACGAATACGCGCCGATGAATTTTTCTGCGCGATTGCCGAACTTAATTATGCATGCCTCCGCCGTCGTGTGAGTCATTTTCACTGACTATCCAATGTGTCACACTCATTTAGATTTACGGCCAACCTTCACTTCAACCAATCTCAATGTCTCTGTAAGGTGTGGACTCCCCCCCCCCCCCGTAGCATTAGAAACTATGGTGCTGTCCGATATGAAAAACCCCATTTATAACTTATTTCGCTTAGAAGTGAGCCGAGATGACATCATCACGTTGCGCCGGTGGATCATGAAGCCACTCACTTAACAGCGGCCGTCGTCAAGATCCGAACTCGGACTTATCACGTGCGAGACCAGCACGCTAACCATCCATCCACTGAAAATGAGGACCCCGCGGTCGAAAATTTGTAAATATACTAGAAATGGTTCAGCGTGAGTTGATGGATTTCGTGGTCGGTGATGTCTATCACGCACGTCTATTAGGTCTAGAACCGACTTTTCGCACAGGATTCAGCATTTTTGCACTTCCTTCCCTCCAAGCCTGCCAATCCGCGTACGCTTGACACGTACGACCATCTGAAAGATTTTTGGAGAGTGTATTAGCCCGATGTGTAACGACCCTCTGTCTCGGAGGGTGTATAAGCCCGGTGCGTAAACGCCCTCCATTTTAGAGGATGTGTACGCACTGCCTATAACATTTATTACCAAGATTACAAAGAAGCAAGTTGCTTGGCTGCTTAGTCACCACACACACACACACACACACACACCCACCCACAACACCACACACACACACACCCACACACACACAACACACACACCCACACACACACACACACACACACACACACACACACACACACACACACACACAC